CGTGCCTATCACGTTGAGGTTAGCTACGCCGGGATTCGTTTCAGCAAGTAGACATCCATATATTTAAATGGACCTTGTTGGAGCATACGTAATCCTAAAATGTAGCATCGTACTACAGATGGCGTTTACCGCGCCATTCGTGGTATTTTCTATCTTCTTTCTTGTTTCCACTTGGCACTGTAGTCATTTACTGCTGCATTTTGAATACGCTGTTGTAAAATTAGGATTAATTACGAATTCAATAAACCACTTTAACTTACGCGGGTCATCGCATAGCAGTCCGAAACGGCATATAGCAGGCAGACACATCGCAAAAACATGAAACAAATACCGAAGTTACTGTTTTGCATAAAGAAAAGGGGGTAAATGGTAACTCACCGGGGGAATTGCATCCCCCATGCAGATCTTTAATAAAAAGTCCATCTTTCCATATCAGATATATATATAACAAACCATAATCTTCAGAAATGTACATTTCCGCAGGAGGCTATGTTTATTTAGAGATTTATCCGAATAGTTTCATCTGTATTGTCAAGTTATGCTCATTTCCAAATAATATTACCTTAGAAAATTAAACGAATTTGCCTCCGTTGTTCGTAATGATAATAATCTGAAAATATTTAGTTATTACTGTCTGTTAGTTCATGAATGCACTACTTAAAGGTAGAACAATGGTGTGTAAAGCCAAGGACCCGGATTCGATTCCCGGCAAGGACGTAACAGCAGCAACATTTTTTTCTTATTACTTTGAAATTACCTGCAGCTATAAAATTAAATTCAAAAATGAATTCACTTTAATATATTGAAACTATAATGATTTTTTCTGATAAGAATACCTTAAAACTGAATACTTTTGAATGTATGTATACTGTTTTTTTGCTACAAAACTGTGAAATAAGGTTATTTATGTTTAGACTATGTATGGTCAAAACCCTTTTTATCGTGCAGGTCATACGATTTATATCAACAACAATATTTCAAGTTCATTTTCCTTCCATTACAAGTAATCATTTTCCCAAATAAAATTTTCAGCAATCCTAAAACGTTTTGATAAACAGATATCCATTTTGTGACATTGACACTTGTGATAATTTTGATAATATGAATAATGAAAGGAAGATTATGGGCAGAAAAGTACAAATTCTCCAATCATATTTTTTGCAATAACACAGCATTTTGTAGTTCCTTTGCTGGATCCGCACGATAAGACCGGATTTGACAAAACCTACTTGTAAATAAATTTACTATTATTACCATTTGTTTCGATAGGAACAAATTTTTTGTTTATTCGGCCTACTTCGATAGACGAGAACCGTTTAATTTTATACGAATAATAGGAGCCACCAAAACGAGAGGCCACGACCCTGTATTCTGCCGCTTTTGGTATCCACTGCTTGAAAAAAATTCTACTAAATACATATCCACGAATACTACTGCTAATGTTAAGGTAAGTAAAAAATGACAAGGAAATAAATCACACAATACGAGTTTTTGGTTTAGAATGTTTCAAGAAAATTAATCTGTACATTTTCGACTCATTAAATATATTTTACATAAAATAAATACATACATACATCAAATTAAACGCTAATCGGGTGAGTTTTCTCTTGGACGGATATAAATGAATTTTTAATTAATTTTAATTTAATTCTTAGGTACTTTCAGAAATTCAATTGTTTATGCACTTTATGTATTTTTTGTGCATTTTTTTACACCCCGTACGGCCTGGCGCTATCACGAGATGCACTTTACACTGTCTCCAGGTGTTACCTTTCAAATATTACGGAATTGTGAAATTTGAAAAATTAAAGTAAAGTATTTAAAATAGTTTTAAAATATGGTAGTTGTCAAGGGGCGGCTACTGCTAAGGTGTTACAAAGCTGCAGTACTCCCAATTTCTTAGGAATATATTACAATATACAGTAATGTTTAAATGCTAACATGTCGGCGAACAAGAGTCACTCCCCTCATTATTTGTAGTAGCTATAAATAATGAGGATACCTTGAATAGAGAAGGTTAGAAATGAAGAGGTATTAGAAAGAGTAGAAGAACGGAGGACTCTACTGAAGTCAATAAAAAATAGGCGATATAGGACAGTAGGACACCTTCTCAGACATGAAGGTCTAGTCAGACACATATTAGAGGCAGAAACCGGAGTTACGAGGGGTAGAGGTAGACCTAGATTAGATTACTGTTCGCAAATAGTTGAGGATGTGAGTTGTTCTAATTTTAGGGAAATGCGAAGATTAGCTCAGGATAGGAAAGAGTTGAGGTACGTGTCCAACCAGTTGACTACCTTATGATGATAATGATGATGAGTATCTAGGTATTGTGCAATTGTCGTTTTTTGATTGAAACTAAGAAAAATGGTCGGATACAAATACAATTTAATAACGTTAATTGAACAAGTGCAATTTAAGCCTTGTCGTTGGAATAAACTTATCGAAAATAGTAAAACCAAAATACTTCGGAACATAGGTTGGAAAGAAGGTTTTGAATATCCTGATGACTGATATGAACAATAGTTAAATAGCGCCATGACCCCCTAGACAGTGACAAAACTACATGAATATGCCGTGTCGAATGAAAACACCCTTAGACAAACACAAAAATAATGTAAACGATTCTAAAAACTGTTGTTTACCTTATTAGGCAACACGTAAATGATAAAGTAACCGTTATTGTCAACTGCATTAAATTGTATAATTACAATATGAAAGTATATCTGATTAACGACAACTTCTTTTACAGGTAATTAGAGAAAACTGGAATTTGAAGTACAGTGCTGTGTATGTAAACTGTCCTTTAAAGAAAGGACAGGCTGTCCCGACGGCTGTTTCTATATTTAGTAAACCCAGTCCCACTCCCACTAACACGCTTATCGTTAACAACTTTTACAACGAAACGCAGCTGCCAACTAAAAAGTATGCCGTCTGTGTCAAACCTCTTCATTACAACTATGACAAGGTATGTTCTTGAAGTAATTTTTTATGACGCTCGTTTAAAAAGTATATAGCTACCCTAAGAGTCAGTGCCTACGTTTAAATATAAAGCCTTTTATGCGACTAGTGTGGCATGACCTAGAGGTCCAAATTTTTCTGTGGTTCGGTTAAAGAGGGTCTTCCGTCCTACCCTTCGGCTGCCCGTCCACCTGCATTAGTAGCTGGTGGGAATGAAACGCTCACAAGCTTTTTTTAAGTATAAAATCCGAGCAGCATGGCGTAGAGGTTTAAAACATTGCTTAACATTCGGGAGGACAGCGGTACGATTTTGTTTTCGTGGAAGACGGGAAATGTACGAAAGACACCCAATCTCCCTCATGACTAGGTAGTGTTGCATTCCCTTCGAGAAGGACCTACTTACTAAAACCCCTCTACCTCAGGCTGCTTTAGGGCCAATTAAGGTCCTCTTTAGCCGTTTATGGTTATAGATATTATATGGTTATGTATTTCGTTGATGTATGTGTATGTATGGGTGTGTGTATATGTGTCACCGTTACGTTAAACTTTAACTTTTGGGTGTTTCATTCCCATCAGCCACTAATGCTGGTGGGTGAGCAGTCCTTCCTAGGTAGGGCGGAAGGCCCTATTCAGCCTCCTTTCAGGAGGGAATGGGTGAATGGTGGTTCGGATGAGAATGATGAGACGGGCGAAATGATGACAGAAGAGAAATAAAATTCTCTGTTGAATATTACTGCCCCAGCATTTGCCTAAGTGATCGAAGGAAACCACAGAAAAACTCAGACCGAGGCGTATGGACCCGGAATCGAACCGACGTCCTCCCGAATGCTAAGCAATGGTCTAAAGCTCTAGGTCATGCCGTTAGGTTTTGTGGGACGAGTTTATATACTGCGACCCTACTTACCTGATTCAGTCTTTATACTTTAACGTAGATGTAGCAGACTATAGGAAAAATTCCAAAATAATGTGGACTACGATAAACATGTTTTAATTTCGTTACACATCTCGACGCTATAGATAAAATTCATCGCCTTGCTCAATAGCACCCCCTCATTGGTTTGACAGATATGCTTCGGATCGTAAGGTTGTATTTTCCTCTATGAAATGGATAACATAGTATTGTGTCCTCCAAGCGTAACCTTATTATGATTATGGTAGATAATCTCAAGATAGTTTAAATCACAATTAACGCATAATAGATTAACCTAACCTAACCTAGCTCATACATTGAGGCTTTTAAGGTTGAAATATATTAAAAGCTCGTCAGTTAGCAAATAAATAATGTCCGATTATTATTGTTAAATTTCAAAGGAAAATGCGTCTGTGGTAATGATATAATAATAATGATCGTGACGTTTCTTCTTATCCAGGCCTCCAGGAAACTAGATAGCACGATAACAGGATTCATTATTTACTTAAATGTTTGGCAATTGTTTTGACTATTAGCGGCTATTTTAATAAAGAGCACTGAGAAATATAATATGTGACATTAAATTGTTCTGTACTCTTGAGAATGGCCGATTACAATGAAAAAGTTGTTGAGTATTTAAAAAATAACGAGTGGAATGATTCTCATTCTACGTTTCCTCTAAAGCCATTTATTTCTTAAAATACTTACAGACTTTTCTCTTTGTTTAAGATGATGCAAATTGTTGAATTTATCGAATTGAATCGAATAATGGGTGTGGAACATTTCGTTTTTTACAATCACACAGTAGGACATCAGGTGGACTGTCTGTTACGTGAGTACATCTCGAAAGGCGTCGTGACCCTCTTACCCTGGGATCTTGACCTACTATCTCAAAAGGAGATTAGAACGGAAGGCCTCTTCGCCGCTATGAACGACTGCCTTTATAGAACAATGTACAGATTCTCCCACGTCCTCTTCATCGACTTCGACGAGTATATTATTCCTAGATCTAAGCCAACACTTCCGGAACTTATCGAGTGAGTACAACAAGTACCTACTGACACTTGCTAATTATCGAGATACATACATATACTTACAGCAGGTATATGCTTTGCAAAATGTGTTAGTTACCTCATTATAAAAAGAGCAATTCTAAGCCGATTTACCTTACCATTTAATTAAATTTTTTTAACGGTTCAAGTAAATTCATTACGAAATTATCATAGCCACAGTAATCGAACTTGACCACTAAAAATTAAATTCTAAATATTTTTTAACAAAAATACTGAAGCATTTCAAGTGTTAGACAAGGCCTTAAGTTTCTACTAGATGACGATGTACTGCATATATTTGGATATTACATTAACTCGCTGTTTAAAACCAGAAACTAAATAACCTTCGGATTAGACGGTAACTTATCGAGTCTAAGGATAAAGGCAAAGAATCTGTATGAAAAACAAAATTAAGTGCGCGGGCGCATTCCGAATGTTGACTGTGGCATATGGTACCTTGGGCCAAAGCAACGTTTATCGGTGGCACAAAATGGTTATGACGTGAAAACCAAAGCTCAATCGTCTCAATGGAAGCAGCCGCACGAGCGTAGACCGAAGAAAGCGCGGCAAGATAGATCGAATGTGAAGATTTTGCTTACAGTTTTCTTCGATTGCAGGGCCGTGGTGTATAATGAGTTCTTGTCACAGGGTAGAACGGTAAATAAAGAATATTACCTGCACGTTGTGCGCAGTTTGCGCGAAACAATCCGCTAGAAACGCCAGGATTTGTGGAAGAACAAAAATTGATTTTTGCACCATGATAACGCCCCTGCTCACACATCGTTGATTGTGCGCGAATTTTTGGCCAGAAACAACATACTAATAATGCCGCAACTACCGCATTCCCCAGATCTGACCCCCTGTGACTTTTTCTTGTTCCCGAAACTGAAGAGGCGACGACGCTGCGCTACGATTGAGGAGATAAAGACGACATCGAAAGAGGAGCTAAATAAGATCACAAAAATAGTGTTTTTTTGAAGTGCTTCAAGGATTGGGAAAAACGTTGGTACAAGTGTATAATATCTAGTGAGAATTACTTTGAAGGGGCCAAAATAGGTATTCATGAATACATAAATAATTTATGAAAAAACACAAAATTCGCGATACTTTTTAAACAGACCTTATACCAGTGTGTTTTGCATGTTATGGATGCGTTGTGCTTTCGGACCAAGGATGATAATGTACTTTACAGAAATGTAGTACACCTCAACGTCATACTGTAGGTACTTATGGGGAAAGAAAGTTGGTGTACTCAGAGGTGTGATCAGATACCAACACATAATTAGTTGTTTACAGTTATATGGGATAACTACACTTTTTTAGTTTTTATGTGTCGTATAAACTATAGATTATTATAATACTTATATATAGATATAACACCTTGGCAGTTCTCACAGAAGAGTGCAAGTTTAAGGGACCATATTTCAAAAAGATAAGTTTTATGACTTAGAGCCCTTTTAGACTTTTGATGCACACGTTGAGAACTACCAGAATCGATTGTGTCAGAAAGTTCGACAGAAGGACATTTTCCGAAAGGATCTAGGCAGGGTTCTTTATCAAAACTAGCAGAAGCGGATTGCAATTTCGATCTAATTCAATTTCATTAGCCTTTAATCTTAGGCAATATCGATAAGTTACTGACCAATCTGAAGGTTATTTAGTTTCCGGTCCTAAAAAGCTAGTCAATGTAATATCCAAATATATACAGTATATCGTCATCTAGTAGAAACTTAAGGCCTTGTCTAACACTTGAAATTCTTCAGTAGCAGCAAATAGACACTAGATGGCGACCCACTGTCAGTAATGGGATATTGCATCAACTTGCTTTTTAGGAACTTCTTGGGATTGGTTAATAATTTATCGAGATTACTTGTGATATATGTATAATGTATAATAAGATAATATCAAAATCGCAATTCGGCTAACACTTGCAGTATTGAAAAAGCAGTCTATATTTGTATATATCTTTCGATGAAATTATTTTTTTACAAGATGACTTAACTTAAACTGAACTAGTTTTTGAAATTTAATATCTCTTTCCAGAAATCTCCAGCGTCAACGAAGAGGCCCAGAAGTGGGCGCATACTCGTTTCAAAACGCATTTTTCTACCTCCAATGGGACGACGACGAATGGACACAAGATACCCAAGACGTAATCGCACTAAATTTAGTAACACAAAAGAAAACGAGACGAAAATCGAAGCTCCATCCTCACAAACAACGTTCCAAATATATTTGTAGACCTGAGAAAGTCGTAGAAGTGGGAAATCATTTTGTATGGGAATTTATTAGAGGGTTTGTTTCGTACAATATCCCGTCGGATCACGGGATCCTTCATCACTACAGGATATGCGAGTTTGGTGGAGACGATTGTGTGAAACAGGCATCGACAGTAGATCGAACAGCGTTCAAGTACAGGACAGAACTTGTGGAGGCTGTTAAATCGGTCTACGATAACAATAAGGATAAGTGTGATCTAGAAGACTTGTACATGAGTGAGAGGCAACAAATTGCTGCCGTACCTTTCATAGACATATTCAATAAGGATTTCAAAAGGTTGTTAGACCCTAATACGAGATAATAATTATTGCGATAAATTATGAAACTTGTGAGATTTCCTGTAGACTTAATTTTTTATTAAACGAACAACAAAAATGAAAAACAAGCTACTAATTATTTATTGCACATATATGTCTCTCTACAAGGCACTCCTTTTATTTCGTTTCTTACTTAAATCCAAGTTTCACCACTCATTCCCCCGACAGAGATTGAATTTTTTAACCAGTTTCAAATAAATCGAACCAAAAACAAACATGCAATCTTTGCAAACCCCTTTCAGCTTCCTAAAGAGGTAGAATTTCCTAAAATATTGTTGGTTATACAAAGTGTTACATATTATTTACAATGATTTTACATGTACAAAACAATTAAAAGAATGGAATAGATAGTAAAATAAGCTACGGTCGCCACAGGCTTTTTCATAATTAAAAGTTTCTAATATCTTATTTCATTAATTTTTTGTTTGAATTATATTTTTTATATACTTACATAAATTATTAAATTACTATTATACCATTACATATATACATAAAGCAATTTTTAGAAAACGATAATTAATCGCTAAGATTTCCACAAGTCATCAGCGTTGTAACACTATAAAAATTAAAATAATCGTTTTTTATAAAGTTAGGTCGGACGACGAAGATGATTGATTAATTAACAATTATGTTAACCTGTAAGTACTCGCTTATCTGAAAGTAGTAATTATTTCAAAACTACACCATTAATGAATTTTAATAATTAGATTGCTTAATTAGACGTTTATTTCACTAACCGATTATTGTTTAAATAAAACTGACCAAGTTTGTATAGTTAATCTGAATTCTTATATATAGCAATAGCAATTTGGAAGTAATATGATTATGGGTTATTTATTTAATGAAAGGGAAAACTGAGAAAAACGAAAATTCAGGGTGATTTATACATTTCGAAAAACACCCAACTAATGACTGTATCACTGTAACCATAATTATATACATCTCAATAGTAGCAACAAATTATACGCTACACCAATGATACGCATAAGCGTAGACAAGATTTTGTCGCCATAAGGAGGTAACAAATAAACTAGAAACATATAATAATATTAATAGTCCCATAACATATTATATAATAAAAGTTTCAGAAAATATTTATTATAAATTGAACCTGTAAGCATGCAGTAATTGGATCCCCGCTCACTTTATGGTTGCGTGATAATCTTCGAATTTGAGAATAAAAATAATATTCTACTAAATCTTATAAAACACATATGTACGATCATATTTTGCAGGTAACTAAGGATTATGATTTTAATAAACAAAATATATTAAAAATCAACGTTGTCAATGTAATAAATAAATAATAAAATAAAAAGTAGGATTCTACTTAATATTTCTTTCAAATAATGCAATAGTAAAAACAATTACTATTATTACAAACATAGTTTACAAAAACTAATCAACATATTACAAAAGACTTAAACAAAGATTTTGTATTATCCAATAATTAAAAAAAAACTAGGTAATAATTAAGAAACCCTAATGTCAAAAATTTTATGGTGTTTTGACAAAAAGAAAAATTCATACTAGATTCAAAGAACATTTATTTGCAACTACGTGATGATTTTCGATGTTTTTAATTATTTGCGGAATTTCAGTTTTCTGCACAATTAACTGAAATTAGGATAGAAGTGAAGGTAAAGATTATTATTATAAAGGAGACCACAAAAGAACTTGGACTAGAGTCGCCAGAATCGAAATCGAACCAGTATCTTCTCGAATGCTAAGTAGTGTTTTAATCGCCTCAAAAAGAATTTTTGGATGTTTCATTCCCACCAGCTACTAAAGGAGAGGGGAGCGAGCAGTTCCTCCGAACTACGCCAGGAGGTAAGGCTCTCTTCAATTCTTCAGCTTACTCATAGGAATCAGGAGAAGGGGTGGTTAGTGGTTTATCATCATAAGGTCGTCAGTCCTAAGACTGGTTGGACACGTACCTCCACTCTTTCCTATCCTGAGCTAAACTTCGCATTTCCCTAAAACTAGAACAACCCACATCCTTAACTATTTGCGAACAGTAATCTAACCTAGGTCTACCTCTACCCCTCCTAACTCCTGTTTCTGCCTCTAATATGTCTCTGACTAGACCTTCATGCCTGAGAAGGTGTCCTACCAACCTATCTCGCCTATGTTTTATTGACATCCATAGAGTCCTCTGTTCTCCTATTCTTTCCAATACCTCTTCATTTCTAACCTTTTCTACCCACGTTATCCTCCACCTCCTTATAACACCACATTTCGAACGCTTGTAACCTTTTCTTTTCCGCCGCGCCCACTGTCCATGTTTCGCACCCGTACAACGCCGTACTCCAAACATACACCTTTAAGTAACTGGTTAGAGTGAGAAAAATGAAACGAGGGAAATGAAGGCAGAAGGAACGTCTACCATTTACATAAAAAGAATTATGAAACAAATGTGAAAAAACAAAACAAATTAATAAAAAATAAAGGAACCAACAATATTAATCGAGTGAAAATACACTTAGCATATCAAAAGCAGAATATCAATAAATTAAAAGTATTTACTATTATTATTAATCCAGAAATGTACATTCTCTCAAGTCAAAAATTTCCAAACAACAAATCGAAACTCTGGTGCATCTCACTAAATATGCATTCATCCTCGATTCCCGGTTGTCACACCATTTCTTTAATTCTCAATTTGTTTACTAATTAATTATATGCATAAAGTTGGACTCATTTGCTACTGTCCTGTACCTTCTGCTGAATTACAATTTTACTTCGACTCTTTTAATATTTTTGTACATTTATTACTTTATTTTTAACATAAAAAACATTGGAGCCTGTATCGGTTGAGGTCCAAGTGAATCTCTTCATGTTCTTTCTAAGAGCACGTCGATCGGCGTTCTGAGTTCTGGTGTTCAAGTTCAATAGATGCATTACTTACAAAGTAATATACTACATTCACCCCCAACTTTTCTTTCCTCGCAAGCACCCTTACCCTAGAGATTATATCAGCTGCCATAATGATAAAAGCTAGTTGTAAGTATCCTATTAATTGTTGGTAATTGATATCGTTATTCGTCAGAAAATTACTTCACTATGAAATCTGACATGATTTTGTTGCGCCTAAAAATTGGATCTGGTTACATAGTCGAATTTATAAACTTTCCAAATAAAAACAAATTGTGGTTTTATGAAACCATGATGCAACTGAAACTTTTCGGATTGTAGACATTTAGGGTATTAAAATTAAAATCGCGTTCTTAATCTTATCTTAATAATTTAAAAATGGAAATGATAATAGGAAAGTAATAGTAGACAAGATATCCAACTATAAATTGTAATTTCAATCTGCATATGAGAGTACGAAATACATAATAAATATAATCATTCAGATGATAGACGTATGTTAGAAAATAAGAACAATATTTATTTAAATTATTGAATCATTTTGAACTTCAGTTATTCTATCAATAACTTCATCTTTGCTTTGAATTTCATAGTCTATAAATGTAATTGTCATGCACTTGCACGAATGAGTGAGAATACAAATGCTACACGGTTAGCTCATGCGAGCCATGGTCGCCGCCATATTGGCCTTGGCTACTCTACCGAGCGCGTTTCACTTTTACCCCTACTCCACAGTCAGCTGCAATGCGACATGCGATAAATGGACGAAAAAATTTGAGGCAATGTATAAAGTTTCACTTTTATATGGTACGCCAATGATAAACGCCCCTTACAACCACCACCCAGAGAACCCGGCTTGTTGTACCAATTTAATGTACCTAAGGGATCATTATCAGAGACATCCCTGATTTAAATTACAAACAAAAATCGTCACAGTTACTATTGTTATTTATTCATCGTTCAACCATTATTCAAGAAAGATACTTTCGCTATGTACAAGGAAAGACTTGACGTAGTCTCCGAGTACTTCAAATACACTGAAAAGTTAACACTGTGGGCGCCATTCCCTAATGTAGCACATAAATTTAGATTTCTATACATTTACAGAAGAATCGTTCTAGTAATCGTAACGCTAAATTTTTTTAGAGGTATATCGACCCTACAAACCGGTGAACGTATTGCGTTAGCATGCACTATTTGTATCGAAGCATTAACAGAAATAAAAGTGTACAAGCACGTGAAAGCAAAAAGAATAATTTGTGAAAAAATGAGGCATTTACAAAGTCATCTTCTTTCTTTAAAAGTGTTACCGGATAATAAAATAAACAATATCTTTTTAAAAGAAGCAAAATACGTCGAAAGAGTTACAAAGTTTCTTTATGGCTTCTTCCTTTTTACGGGACTAGGAGGGATCTCCAGCGTATTGAAAACATTTTTCTTTGATTATGAACACAACTATGAAACCATAACTACTATTGAAAACGTTACTATGACCATTTACAATCAAAGAACGATGTCTTTTAGTCCGATACCTCCCACTTTAAGGACATCAAGGACCAGATTTATTCTGATCTCCATGTTTTTCGAGACATACCACTTCAGCTACTTTCTCTGTATTGCTGGTAGGTATTTCTCTATAAGTAAAACTGTAATAATTAAAACTGATTTCTCTTTTCTTTTCAGTAACTGACTCGGTATTTTTTATTTTAATAAATTTTATAGTTAACCATATTAAATGCCTGAATTTTAATTTCCAAAGAATGGGAAAAATGAAAATAGATTTATATATATTGCAAAAGAAGTTCAACGCCTGTGCTGCTTATTTGGATGAAATATTGAAGTTAGTATATAAAATACGTATCATGAAAATTATACATAATAATTACCTGACTATTACGACATTTAATTAAAGGGTGTAGCTCTGCCTTAGACTACTACTCTTGATAACCAAAATGTTATCGTTTAATCGAAATGTTTATCAAAAATCACCAATCTTTTAACATGCTGATTTAAAATAATAATAACAATAATAATTAATATGCATTCCGGGCAAACAAAAAAACATTCATTTTAATTTTGGCGAGTAACATTACAGAAGATTTATATAACGCTAATTGCTTTGCACCTACGGAGAAAATAAAGAAGGAAAATTTACCTAAATATTAAAGCGATATTTACAATTTAT